GAAAGGACTTGTATCGCTGAAGTTCTTCAGAAAGAATTTTTTAAGGGAAATTAACAAATACGTAACATTATGTTATCTATTTCATGCAAAATGAAAGTTGCATAGTTATTTAGAAAAAATAATCCAATAAATAATACATCTTCTATAAAAACATTTTGCCTCCCCTTGTGGGTCAGCGGTAAGTATGAAGGCATACAGCGCTAAAAACCGAGTTTCGATACCTGTAGTGGGTACAGCACAGCTAGCCCATTGTGTAGCTTTATGCTTAACAAAAAAAATGAAAACCTTTTCAAAATTAATTAGTATAAAGATTATGAAGAGATAAAGAAAATTTGTAATTAATAAATAAATATTGGAAAACTGAGAATACTTGAGTATTATAAGTTTGTTTTTCTACGTATTTAAAACAACGATGTTGGTTAATTTAAGTTATAGTTAATGAATAATATCTATTAACTTATCTATACGAGTTTTATTTTTAGTTTTTTTATATACTCCTGATTAGTTTAAGCTGCTTAGTATTTGTTTTCTTGGCAAACCTATTCAGGTTATCTGCTGCATTCCTTACTTTTTTTATTATTAATCAGGGAAAAAGTAGTAAATCAGTAGCCCCCTATCACCAACCATTCACTCTTAAGGACTGGGTATTATTCTTATAACACAATCAAAACTTAAAAGTACAATGTACCGGATATCTTGTGGGGTATGGCACAGACTCGAATCCGGGTCGCCAGCTCCGAAATCAAAAAGAAAAGCTATTTATTAAAAGACGCGTGTAAACTTGTGTATAAATAAAATTCTGACATTATTAGTAAAATATCTTGCTTTCATGAATAAATATTTGGAAAGAAGCTTTTGATAACTGAGGTAACTTCTTAGTTACATATATATGTTGTTGTTGTTGTTTTTTTTACAGTCAGGAATGACTCCTTTGAGCTTACTTCACACATGGTTAACATCACTTCATCTAACTGTGTCTCAGAACAATATCACTTGTAATTATAGTGATGAGCGACATCTGCCGGAAGAAAAAGATGAAATTCCTGCGCTTCGACCTCCTGTGCTTATCGTTGGAATGTTGAAGAATATAGAAAACACGAGCGAAGAAGACCACCACATCATGGTAACAATTTCTTTCAAGCAATGAACTTAGACGTAATTTGTCTTTTTTGTTTTGTTTACACCATTTTCAGTTTGATTCGGACTTTTAGGGAGGTAATATGTAGTTTGTATCTGAAATCCAGTTTGATATACTTCACCGGTAAATAAATAAACTGGTAAACTAGACTTGACGCAGTTTATTTGCGTAATTTAGGAATGACTGAATCACACGGTTTACATGTCCTCAGGTAGAAGAAAAGTTTGCAAGAATTAGAGAAAGTCTTCAAAACGCTCCCTGTAAACACCACGTGGTACCCACGTGTTTTCTACTCGACTGGATGGATGCAGAGGTGTTAGAGACACAACTGGAGAATTTGAGATTAAGGATACGAACGATAGCGTTAGGTCAACCTCAGATGTCTATGGAAGTCCCTCTACGATGGCTAGCATTTCATAGAGCCGTGCTAGAGTTGCCGAAGAAGGAAGTTTACATAGCGGGATATTGTCAGGTAGCTCTAGATTTTGTGTAACGAAGTGATAATTTAATATGTAAGTGACTTATTTAATGCCTTTTTTTTATGCTGCTCTGAGAAGAATGTAGGTATAAACTTAAGCCTAATATGGAACTTAAGTATACGTAAAGTTCGTTTAACATCTATGTGACTTGTTATATATTTAATGCCTTTTTTATGACTACTCTGAGATGAATATGAGAATAGAGCTAAGCCTAATACAGATCTAAATCTTATATAAGATTTATATAGTGATCACTTTTCTCTCTTCTTTTTTATTTTTGTTTTTTAGCTCTACGAGATTGCCCTAAGAGAAGGAATTGTGGAGGAGGACGAGTTCTGGGCAATGTTACACTTCCTGCACGAACAAGGAAAACTAATTTCATTTCCTAGTAATCTAGTGGACAAAACCAGAGACGTGTGGGAAGGAATAGCCATTCTCAACCCTCAGTGGTTCATTGACCACATTTACAAACTCTTCGACTCTTCAGTTCTGATACCAACAAATGAGGTAGGAT